ATCCTTGTCTTACACCTCTTTCTATTTTTGTATATTTACTGAATTCATTTACCATCATATGCAGTGTTGTTGCTAGTATAGGTTTTGGATTATTCTAATAGCCTTCTCAAATATGTCAAGGATACTTAGCAGTTACACAAGATCTTTGCAACATAGAATTAATTACATCAATAAAACCATTATAGGTCTGAAGAAGTTCCTTGTAGGGTTGAAATGTTTTATGTAGGTGCTTTTTCCATTTTGTAATTTGATTACATACAATTATAGTTATATATTTAAGACTTATCACTGTTTTAATTTTTATAATTATATCTTTTATTTCATTTTATTTATTTTGACTAACGCTTGTTAGTTTACAACTACTAGGATGACTTATTTTGTCAAGGAAAAATGTGTATTTTATATTGTAAGCACCTTTATGTTATAGTGAATTTATAGCAACAGGAGATACAAATAATTGGCTGTAGGGGATATGCATAGTATCAGAAATAACTGACTAGAGCTGTTAAAGAACAATGTTTTCAAAAAGAGTCTTTTCTTTTTTTCCTTTGTTTTTGTGTAGGGCTGCAGGCTCCAGTCCAACCTGTCACCAAGTAGGACATTTTCTTATTCAGAAATGTAAACATTTAAATTTGCACTCTGTTGTTAAAGAGAAGGCTACCTTTCCCACAGCCAGGATTTTATTATTTTTATTTTATTTTATGGATAAAATATTTAATAAAATTTTCAGCCTGTTGTGTATTTGCTTTCATTTTGCTGAAAACATTTTCAGATTGTATAGATACCTTTTCCGTAAATATAAATATCATTTCAATGTTAAGAAAATTATAAAATTCAATATACAGATGCAGACTTAGCTCTTTTCTTTATTGAAAATAATAGAACATTATTTTTTTTTTTAAATAATTTTAGCATTATATGATGAAGCTTCAAATATTAATTCTATAAAAAGTAGGATTGAAACTGGATCATTTTTTATCAAGTTTGTGGATTATAGTGAATATACCAGCACAATATATATATATTTCTCCCTTGATTGAGTTTGTATTAAATAATATATATATGCATGCAATATATACATATTTATAGCTTTATTTTGTTTTCTAAGAATTTAATAAAACTAATTCTGTTTTTGTGCTACACTTCCAACAATAACATCCTCACCATGGTAAGGCCACAACCTCAACATGCTAGGGTCACATTCTCACTATGATAGGGCCATATCGTAATCATGCTAGGACCACATCCTCACAGTACTAGGGTCACATCCCCACCATATTAGAGCTACATCCTTGTCATGACATGGCCACATCTTCACAATGCTGGGACCATGTCCTCACCATGATAGGGCAACATCCTTACTGTTGTAGCATACCTACAGATGATAAAGTGTATATCATCATTCACATAAATACAGTAGTAAATACTGTATGTTGGTCTGCAGTTGAAGATTCATAATGAAATTCACTTGACTCACTTCTAACAGTTGACTACTTCTATGCACTGCTGGCAAATCTTATATGTGTTGTTCTTGTCCTAAGTATTATCGTTCATTACCAACCTTTGTGTGATTATTCTGCTATAGTAACCTTCCTTAGGTTATAACATTTACCATGATAGGGTCAATTTCTTACCATGGAGGGGCCACACCCTTACTATGCTAGAGCCACATTCTCACCATACTAGGTGTTGCTGTTGTTTCTGTAATCAGGGTTTTTATAGGATGGAGTTGCTAGCTTCCCACCCAATCAGTTTTGAATTCGGAATTTTCCTTATAGATTTGTTGCCAACCAAGGCTAAAGAGCATGGTTTGTCCTGTTATTAAGCCCTAAGTGGGACTCTTTCTCAAGAGTATTAGTACAAAAATGAACACAACAACCTTGGCTGAAGTTTGAATTCAGTATACTGATAAATATTATGTTATGTGTACATTTGTATTAGTAAAATTCTTTCTTCTAATTTGGTTTTGTCTCTTTATGGAAAATGAAGGATTGTTAATGAAAATTGTTGCTCTCAAAGTATATTTACAATTTAAGACACTACCATAAATAGATAATTCACTTTTAGATTTCACTTTTTTAAATGTATTTTTCCTTCAGTTCTTTCCAAAAAATTTTGGGAATTGAAGAAAAAGGCTCTGAATTCTCAAATAAATTCGAAAATTCTTGGTTTTGCAAACACCCCTAATAGTTTGGTGGATAGGTGCAAGCTATGTTTAGAAGAAAAAATCAGGATTATAAAATATAAAGAACAATGCAAACTATTAAATCAATGGAGAGAACTAGTCACAAAATGTATACATGGAAATAAATTCCAAATTATATAAGAATACATGTACATATATGTGGGGGTGTATGTGTACGTATAGTGGCATATAGACATGGACATATAAATGTAAATATATGTATGTATGAAGATATGTATGCATATAAGTATGTTGGACAGCATGATTTATTCCATTGGGTGCTCTGGTATTACCCACAATCTATAAATCTATAATTCAACTAATTTACATTAACCATAACAGATTTAAGTTTAAATGCCCCATTGCTTATTAATAATATTAGACACCTGCAGTACAAAAACTATTCACTGTGAATCCCAGAAAAGCACACTTAGGGCTTTTATAAGAAATGCCACATAGTAGGAACTGATATTAAACTATAAATGATGAAAGGTCCTGGCCATAAATAAACTCCAACCCCAGACTGCTTGCCCCAAGATAAGATACCTTACACCCCCACCAATCACTAATACAAACTCATTCTCATTAACAAGAGGAGGGCTGACATTGAATGAAAATAAATTTAAAACAATGCTCCGAGACAGACACTTAGGGGCTGATGATAGCTGTGTACAGAATGGCTTGAAATAGAATATCTTCTATGTTGAGTTAATTTTGGTTCTTTGCTGTAAAATATATACATAAAACATATACATATATATATATATATATATATATATATATATATATATATATATATATATATATATTTTATACATGTTTCATTAAAGATGATAGACAAGGTACTGTGATTAAGCTTTTTATTTAAATTTTCTTGTGTTTGAGCAAGTGGTGATATTTTTTTTCTGGACACAGAGTATTGCAGAAACTGTCCAAATGTTCTGTAATTCCAAACGCTTTCCACTATACTTTTAGCCATTATCAAGTATGATTTTATTTTTACTTTTTAACTGGATGTATGGATTGTGTCTATGTATCTAGAGTTATAAGGATGTTTTATTTTCCAAACATAGTCAGCACATTGTAGCCGTGTTTGTAGTTAATATTAATGAGCGTTGCCTTTTTTTCGTTTTTATTATTAAGCCTTCTATTATTTTTAATCTTTTTTTTACATGTGGATGAGATTATTATGATTGTATTTTCTACTAGTATTCTTCACGTGGAGTATCTTTAATGAAACATGTATAAATGAGGGACTTCTGCCTAAATACACAATATATATATATATATATATATATATATATATATATATTTATATATAATTAATATAAGTAAAAGGTCTGTCACTTAGCTGATTGATGTTACCTTCAGCATCCCAATTCCAGAGTTTTGTTGATGAACTCTCCAGGATTCACTCCATCCACTCATCAGGTGTTATCAGAAATTGACTGCTTATACTTCTCAATTATTCACTTTCTATCAATACAAGTTTTTTTTCATAGTGTTTGTGTGCATATTGTAGTGTATATATGCCTGTGTATACTTGGACTCAATGGAAATGGAGATGACCAATAACTAACCAGTAGACTAAAAAGAAGAGATGAAAACCCTTGACGTGGAGGCAGAAAGTGAACAATCTCTCCCCTCCCCCATAGATTAAATGATTCCTTTTGAAATTCCCTGAAGTATATCTGGATTGACAAATGCCTGATAAAAACACAATGACCAAAATGTGATAACAACAACAGACATAAGGACAATAGTCTGTCTGTAAATAATGTAAATAATAATAATTTTGTATTTACTCTATTAACATGCAGACTATTGTCCTCATTTTTGTTGTCTGCCTTTAAATAGTGTAAATAATATTATCTCTTCATCCCAGAAATTCAGACAGAAAATAATTTTCTAGTTGATGAAAAATCTCTTTAATTTAATTTTTTTCTTTCAACTTATTAATTAATTTTTCATTATTTAAAAATAAAAATTATCATTGAAGTTAATATCTTAAATATTTTATCTTCAGAAAATGTTTTGCAAAACTTAAATAAAAATTATTTCTTAAATTAACCCAAGGAAGGAATTGAAAATTTTATTGAGAAATTTACAAATACATTCTCTAAGAATTGCAACAAAACACATTTTCTTGTGAAATGTTTATTAAGAAAACTGATTATAATAAATGTAACTGAATTTATTTTACTGGAGCCTAATTATTTCCAGCATGGCACTCAGATGATCTCTGAGATCATGTGACCAACCAAGCAACCAACCAAAAATAACTACGAATATAAAATGACCTGACAAATAATCAGTAGCAGGAATTGAACCTTTAACTAAATCTGTAAATTGGACAACAATAATTATAATATTGGCTATTGTTAAATAAGAATTAAGGATTCTCACTAAATTTAGATAAATGTTTTTAGGTATATTATTTTAATTTTCTAAAGTTATTTTTATTTTTCTTCCCTTTGTTTTTTGAAATTTTCTTTCTTTTTTAATAAATTTTAACTATGACAGTTAAAATTTATTTTTTAATATACTAATTAGTTAAAATTTATTTTTTAATATACTAATTATTTTTTAATTATACTAATATCACTTGTAAAAAATATTACTGCAATATTTCAAAAATATAAAATTTTCATTATTTTTATTAATTTTTAAAGTGTTTAATTTTAATAAAAAAAAAAGAAAAAGAAAAAAATTTAATTAAAAATATAAATATGATAGTGACTTTTTTAATTTTTTAGTTTTGAACCAACCCCCTAAAACTTGTTGAATCAAGCACTTGCTACCAACTACTTGATTGATGTATAGAATTCTATTTATTGGCAAACGACCATCTCAGAGCATCCAGCTCTCTTTCACATTCTCATTCCTCATCTCCAGCCCAACTGCCTCCTATACTGCGGTTACTGGATGCCGAGTACTGTTGTACTTGGTGATCATAGTATCGGACAAAATGCAAAACCTAAGTGCACGTGGTGCCCACCTATCAGTCACACAATGCCAGAGGATTTAAAAGGATGAAGACACTTAAGTGCTGATCAAGGAACACGGTTGATGAGCCACAGACCTTTAACTTCAGGTAACTGATTTAGCCTTTTTGTATCAGGCGGCATTCTTGTAGATCATGGGATATTGATTCTGTTTCTAATGTGATAGCCTGAGGCAGAAGCATGCAGTTTTAGAACTGCAGATGGGATAAGAAACAAAAACAAAATGAACAAAAGAGAAATAATGAATAACAGAAAATTATAAAATTTATTGTCATTCAGTATTTTTGTTTTATTTTTTATGTATATTTCTAGCGTGTCTATTAGGAATGTTTCCTTAAAGAAGAAAAGGATTCTGTATTTAATAATGATAATATTAATAATTCATGTGGGTATATATATATATGTACATATACATATCTGATTGTGGGTGCATATATACACACATACACACACATATGTATATGCCTGGAAGTTTGTAAAAATATAAATGTGTATATACAATTAATACAATGAATAGATATTGGCAGCACGAAAGAAGCAATTTGTGGAAGAGATATTGTAATTTGGTAAAAAAATTTAATTCTTATTATTTAAATATTTATATATTATGTATCTAAGTCTGGTCTAAACTATCTATCTATTTATCACATATTCTTCATATCTATCTGTCTTACTTTCTATCTATCTATTTCATATTCTTCATATCTATTTATCTATCTAGCTATCTCATATCTATCTCATATTCTTCACATCTATCTATTTACCTATCTAGCTATCTATAACATATCTATCTCATATTCTTCACACCTATCTATCTATCTATCTATCTATCTATCTATCTATCTATCTATCTATCTCATATTCTTCATATCTATCTTATTCTTCACATCTATTTATCTATCTCGCTATCTCATATTTTTCATATCTATCTATCTATCTATCTATCTATCTATCTCATATTCATCACATCTATTTATCTATCTCATATTCTTCATATCTATCAATCTATCTATCTATCTATCTATCTATCTATCTATCTATTTTCATATTAAGAAATAGATTTCTGTATAAAACAGGAACCAGCTGAAATGCACATATCTACAAATACATATGTATATATATATATATGTATATATGCATGTATATATATTTGTGTGCGTTATACTCACATGCCTATTCATGAAACGTTATGACTATATGTAGATTGGAATTTATAACAAATGTATTTGCATAGACATACATGATCTATATGCATATGCAAATGTGCTTAAGTGTCTATTCATGTACATTTGTACAGGTATTATGCATATATATATATATATATATATATATATATATACATATATATATAAAACTGGACATTGAGACCAACGCTTAGCATTGATAGTCTCTTTCTTTAATGCTTAAACATAATTGTCAGGCCATGATGATTGCATTTAAGCATATTTAATATAGCATACCTTATACTTTTATCATATATATATATATATATATATATATATATATATGTATGTATGTATGTATAAATATGAACAGAGATTGAGATAGAGGAGTATATGTGATGAAGGAACAAAATACAAGATGTATACAAAAACAATGCCAATTTATTAAACTGGGGTTTTGTTTGGCACAAGGCTACATTAGTACAGCACCCAATGAGCATCAAATTCATTGCCTATGCATTAGCCAATGTGACAAACCTTCTCACATTAATCTACAGTAAGGTGCCTGTTATATATATATATATATATATATATATATATATATATATATATATATATATATATATATATGTATATATGTGCGTGTGTATGTATAATTGTGTATTTTGGCAGCAATCCATTTTATACATGTTTCATTAACAATGACTGACAAAAAGTTACTGCATTTTATTAAATTTTTCTTGTGTTTCTATATGTGTTTTCTTTGCTGGACACAGAGTGTGTAAAAACTGTATAAAAGTTTTGAATATCTGAGCAATTTCAGGCTATTCTATTAGCCATTATCAAAGATGTTTTTTACAGTTTTAGCTGAATATGTAGATTTTATATATGTGCAGCTATAGCGATGGGAATGTTTTTTTATTTTCCAAATACAGTCAGCAGATTGTGAGTGTGTTCATAGTTGATATTATTGGGTTACATATATATATATATATATATATATATATATATATATTTTTTTTTTTTCATTTCAAAATAATCACAAACTTTTAGGAATACGTTATGAAAGCGTCGCCCATGTGACGACGGCGTGACCATGTTAGACGGAAGGCTGATCATTTTAAAAATTTTCAGTTATCTGTTTTGAATAAGACTTGTGTTTTTATGTCCATCGTATTTGTCATATTGAACTGAATTGTATTTTAATGAATATTGTCTTGAAAAAGGTTTATTAAACCGAAACGTCAGACGTCGACATTTCATTCATTTTAACAAAATTTAAGGATTTTTGTTTTTTTTTCAAAAATTTTTCTTCATTCTGTCGGATTTATATCCATTTACACTTGCTTATATATATATATATATATTTTATATGCACAGGACTTCATAGAAAGTGCTCTGCGCCTAACCTCAGATTGTTTATATGAGTGTGTTTGTGTGAACTAAAATGCATACACCTGTATGTATGCGTGTTTATGTGTGTGAGAGTGTCATCCCAAACAAACACAGAAAAAAAATTCCCCATCCCACTGCCAAACATAATCAAACACAAACAAGCATAATAAAGATGCAATATTTACAAAATAAACCAGTTTGTCTGATGATAGGAAAAGCATGAAACCCAGGGTCACAAACTCATATCCATACAACTGAATATATATATATATATATATATATATATATATATATATAATTAATTGATTTAAAATATGTTTTTTTTTGCTACACACGAAAAACACATATTTTAAATCAATTAATTTATAATATTAATGCTCTGTAAATTTACATCGAGCACTATTTTGTAAAAATAAAAATATCTATAAGAACATCGGATTATATATCTTACTGTTCTTTCTTTTTATTTATATATACATATATATATATGTAGGTGTGTGTATGTGGGTGTGTGTGTCTGCGCATAAATGTTTATTAAATGCTCATATACGGAAAGGATACCTGAATTTGCTAGTTAAGCATTTTTATCCTTTTAAATATTCCATTGTATTTTTAGTAAAAAAGATAGAAAGAAATTTAAAAAATTGGAATTTCTTTTTTTATTGAAGTGCAAAATCTCCTATTTTTGATTTTCCTGGATCAAAATATAATTGTTTTTTCTGTTTCATTAGACATGCTAATTGTGCATTTAAAATTTAAAATTTAAGAATCTTAATATCAATAATTTAAAATGTCTTACAAATCTTACATATGAAATTTAGAAAAAAAAATGAGTGTATTTTTCTAGAGCCATGTGTTCGATCCTAACAAAAATTAATTTTTACTATTCTTTGTCTTTCCAACCCTTTTTCAAACTTTATGTGTGTGTGCATGTGAATGAGAAAGAGTTTGTGCTAGATTAAGATCAAATAAGTATCTACAAAATTATATATATATATATATATATATATATATGAACACAGATATTATGCACCATAAGGAATGCACATGTATTATGCACCCTTTTGTTATATTTCTTATATGTGAATATACTTATGTATTTGATTAAAAATGCAACTTAATATGTTCTTTTTTGGATGGTCTCCAAAATATCACCCATTTTCACGTATTAAAAGGGAAATTGGAGATGATGATGAGTTTCTATGAGTCAAGTGGTCTTTACTCATCATCAGGATAGGTTGGGAAATTCTGAAATAAAACAAATGAAGAATTATAGATTTTAGCTGCAACTAGTTTTCAAAAAATAATCATTATCCTGATACAAACACCAATCTATTGTTAGTACATGGATACACACATCTATCTATCTATCTATCTATCTATCTATCTATCTATCTATCTATCTATCTATCTATCTATCTGTCTGTTTCTTTCTGTCTGTCCATTTCATATTCTTTATAACTATCTCATTATATTCATGTCTCTTGCAGATCTCTCTCTGTCTGTCTCTCTCTCTTTCTCTCTCTCTCTCTCTATATATATATTTATATAAAATTATTTATCTATCTCATATTCTTTATATTTATCTCATAATCTTCATGTCTCTCTCAGATCTCTCTCTATTTCTTTCTCTTCCTTTCTCTCTCTATATATATTTATTTAAAATAAATTATCTATCTGTCTCTCTGTCTGTGTATTTGTCTGTGTCTGTCTATCTATCTAACTCATATTCTTTATATCTATCTAATTCTTTTCATGTCTCTCACTCAGATTTATTTCTCTCATTCTCACTGTCTCTCTCTCTCTCTCTCTCTCTCACACTGTTTCTCACTCTTTCATTACATTAATTTTTGTCATTACAATTCATGATAATCCAGAATGAGACTGAAAATACTTGGGGAAATAAAAGAAATTATGAAAACTACGGTGCCTTCCTTAATGTGTTTAATAATAACATTAAGAAATTGATTCATGAGTTTGAGAGGATTAAAATAAAAATAAATAGATATTTAGATTATTCAATCAAACATGTTTGAATGAAGATATGCCCCTTAAATATACATACATACATACATATGTATATATATATATATATATATATATATATATATATATATATATATCTTACTTATTATAAAACGCAGATTGTGTGTGTGTGTCTGTACGTTTATATATTGGATTGGATTTCCTACATTTTTCAACCGATTTCAACAAAACTTCACAGGACTACGTAAAATTACCTTGCGGTGGTTCTGACAGCGCCAAAAATTGGAAAAACACAATTGTTTTTGCATGAAATCAATTTGAAAACACGATTAAGAGGCATTAATGAAAGGGGGACAAGTCATATCGAGTTATACATATATATATAGAGTTATACTTATTATAAAATCCAGGTTGGTTGTTTGTGTGTGTGTGTGTGTGTGTGTGTGTTCGTGTTCGTTTATATTCCTACATTTTTCAACCGATTTCCTCAAAAACCTTCCCTTTTTTTTGGCAGGTAGAGTTTCTTATTGTCTTGCACACTTTTTTCTTTATTTTTACATTCAGAATGCTTTAGAAATTCCATTTACAAGACAATTGTTTATAATAAAATTCTATTCAATTGGTAGACACATAATGATTGAAAACAATGTTCTTGTTTGAGTTTGGGTTTGACCAATTCGTAAAAAAAAAAAAAAAAATAAAACTAATTAAGTCATGCGTGTCCGTCAACCTTAAACAATAATCTTTGTCAATTTTATTTTTCAGTCTTTATGACGCTCAATACTTGATCTATCTCTTACTGTTATATCCCCGGGCAACGCCGGGCTCTACTGCTAGTATATATATATATGGCCTGAAGATCCCATTTAAGCATGAAACTGGTTGTTGACCTCAATGTTCACTTTCATATATATATATATATATATATATATATATATATATATATATATATATATATATATATTCATTCATAGTATCCTCCCCACTACTGCTCCCCAGAGAGGTGTGGTATTTTGAACCAGTTGCTTTTTTCGATCAATGTATGTTGACCTCACTGTCCACTTTATATTGACATACACTTTATCCCTGATATTGAGCACTTTAACCATAAATATAGCATACCTTAAAACTATATTTTACCACTTGGCATTCATGCCAGAAGCTCCAATATTCCAGAGTATTTTTACTTTTGTGTTGTTTGATTTTCATTGGTCAATAATGTATCACATGAATTTGATGTTTTTAAATCAATTTTAGTATAATTTGTGGCATACTGAATTTAAAGAGAGATGATGTGTCTATCCAAAGCTTCAAGAAATTACATATATGTGTGTGTGTGTTTATATTATGAAATGGACTAAGTCCGACAATTATTTTAATATATTTTCTGTTTATACATTATATTTATAGATACAATTATCTAAGTAAATGCTCTGCTTATAATAAACAGTATTAACTACATTTGCCAGCCTGAATGTCTGAATGACAGGAATCGAACCTGTATCCTACATAGAA